TTATATATGCAAACACAACATATGCAGGAGCTCACACACACAACTGCTTATCTGTGAACAAAGTGATTACTTAAAAACACACATTAAGAAGTGATGTTATCGTAATGTGATCATTCTCCTGGGATGTCACAAAACAAGAAATACTGAACCATTGCGTTCAGTTCCAGGGTTTGTAAGTACTTTATGACCACTGTTTTAACTCACTATTGATACTATAGAATGTATTTATTTAAAAGGAATATGTATGTTTCTGCTTGAAAGTGGGTGAAACTGACATCGTGCCATAATTTATAGGTTTCCCCCATATTTAACCATACATGATTTTCTTTCACTTTAGAAAATTAGTTTAAAATTATCTCAATTTTTAAAAAAGTGTTATTTCGAATTGACCAATTATAATAATATGTATTTATGGAGTACAGTGTAATGTTTTGCTGCATATGTACAATACGGAATGATTAAATCAAGCCAGTTAGCATGTCACTTATTTTTTATGGTAAGACATTCGAAATTAACTCTCTTAGCTATTCTGAAATATACGTTATTATTAACTTAGTCATCCTACTATGCAGTAGTTCTCAGAGACTTACTCCTCCTGTCTTACTGAAACTTTGTACCCTTGGAGCAACAACTCCACATTTCTTCCCTCCTCCCCAAGCCTCTGGTAACCACTGTCCTACTCTTTAACTCTATGAGTTACATGTTTTTAGATTCTACCTATAAGTGGAATAATGCAGTACCTGGCTAATTTCACTTAGCATAATGTCCTCTGGGTTCATTCCAAGTTGTAACAAATGACAAAATTTTCTTCTTTTTAAAAGGCTGAATATTTTTCCATTATGTGTATGTACTACATTTTCTTTATGCATTTATCCGTTGGTAGACGTTTAGGTTAATTCCATATCTTGGCTATTGTGGATAAAGCTTCAATGAACATGGGAATGCAGGTATCTCTTTGATATATTGATTTCAGTTATCTTGTATCATCTAGAAGTGGATTGCTAGGCCATATAGTAGTTTATTTTTAGTTTTTTGAGGAATCCATATGGTTTTTCATAATGGTTGTATTAATTTACCTTCCCACCAACAAAGGGCAAGAATTATTATTTCCACATCCTTGAAAACACTTGTGTTATTTTTAATCTTTTTGTTAATAGCCGTTCTGACAGTTACAAGGTGATATCTCACTGTGATTTGCATATCCCTAATGATTAATGACATTCAGCTTTTTTCATGAACTCGTTAGCCATTTATATGTTTTCTTCTGAGAAATATCTGTTCATATTCTTTGCCCATTTTTTAATTGATTTACTTGTTTTCTTGCTATTGAGTTTTTTGAGTTTCTTATATATTTTGGATGTTAACTCCTTATTAGATGTGTATGGTTTGCAAATATTTTCTCTCATCCTGGGTTGTTTCTTTACAACTAATTATTTCCTTTGCTGTGTAAAAACATTTTAGTTTGATACAATTCCATTTGTCTGTTTTTGCTTTTGTTGCCTATGATTCAGGGTTGTATCAACAAAATTGCTTGGATCAATGTAATGGAGCTTTTCCCATTTGTTTTCTTCTAATAGTTTTTATATTTTCTGATAATATATTTAAGTCTTCAGATTTTGACTTGATTTGCATATAGTCTCAGATAAAGACCCACTTTTATTCTTCTGTATGAAGATACCCAGTTTTTCCAGCACCATTTGTTGAGGAGACTGTCTTTTCCCCATTGTGTGGTCTTTGTCTCAAATGCATGGGTTTATTTCTGGACTTTCTATTCTGTTCCATTGGTTGATGTGTCTGTTTTTATTGCCAGTACCATACTGTTCTGATTACAATGGCTTTCTAATATATTTGAAATCTGTGAATGTGATTCTTCCAGCTTTGTTATTTTTGCTCAAGATTGCTTTGGCTATTCAGGGTCTTTTGTGGTTACATATGAATTTAAGGATTGCATTTTTCATTTCTGTGAAAAAAATGACACTAGAATTTTGATAGATTGTATTGTAAACTCAGCGTTTTCTGAGTCTGGTGGTATATTTAATTAATCTGCATTTTTTCTTTTCCCTCCTTGTACAAACACTAGTCCTTATGCTGACTATCTAAGTCTCTGCAATTAGTGCTTGGATATGATGTAGGATTAGTTTCTGTGTTTTCAAAGATAATGTGAATTTATGGTTTCATTTGGTTAGTCTGGGAAACAATGTAAATACACAAGAAACATCATGGTAAAAGTAGAGTGAGGTACAGAATACAAATTTCCTATCCTGTTTTATATCTTTTTAGCTTTCTTCTTGGTTATCATCCTCATTTTTGATATTATGAGCTATAATGTATAGTTTAAATTCTCAATTCTAGAGAACTTAGATTCTGGTTCAAAATTCACTTGTGATGTTTTATTAAATTACTTTTAAGTGGTTCTGAAATCTTAGGCTGGGACTTCACAATGAAAAAGTACTGAAACTGGCCAGGCACAGTGGCTCTTGCCTGTTAACTTCAGCACTTTGGGAGGCTGAGGCAGGCGGATCACCTGAGGTCAGGAATTCAAGACCAGCCTGGCCAACGTGGTGAAAACTGTTTCTATCAAAAAGCCAAAAATTAGCCAAGCGTGGTAGTGCATGCCTGTAGTCCCAGCTACTCGGGAGCCTGTGGCAGGAGAATCACTTGAACCTGGGAGTCGGAAGCTGCATTAAGTCAAGATCACGCCAGTGCACTCTAGCCTGTGTGACAGGGTGAGACTCCATCTCGAAATAAACAAATAAATAAATAAATAAAATACTGAAAATGAAAATGCATATTTCATCTCTTCTTTCTATACCCGGCACTTTTGACCTAACCTTTTGATTATATTTGTTATTCTTTTGTTCTTTTGTTTGTCCTTCTGAATTAGGAAGTTGGGTATTGATAGACGCAGTCATTAAATAATGGAGCTTTCAGGAACTTTGAGTGATCTTTGCTTATTTAAACAAATGAATGTGGCTAATTATTATAGTGGGAGTTGGGATGGGTATATTTTGTGCGACTATGAGTTCCAACTCTTGGCTGTAACCAAGAAACTGACTCTGGCTGTCTTATGCAGAAAAGGAATTTATTGAAGTAGGTTGGGCAGCTCTCAGAGTCAGCAAGAACATGGGAGAACCAGGCTCTGAAAATGAGCAGAAATCAAAGAAAGCTGAGCAGTGACGAACACAACCAGGGTCATACCACCAAATAGTCCACCGTGGGAATCTGTCACTGATTCAGCTGTACTCGATTTTCAATCTGTTGCTGCTGAATTCTCAACACTGTTACAACCATAGTACTTTTATCTCTATGCAGATAATTTTTTAACTGTCCCTGAGTCATAGCAGCCCTCCAGGATTCAGTTTTCCAGTTGGTAACATCTAATTATGTAAGTGTAAATCATTTGATGCTAAGGAATGAGAGCCTAATGGATCATTTAGTCCCTGGGGCTTACATAAGATGAGATGGAGTAGCACTTCCTATCACAGAATCCCATAGTAAGAGATTCACCTGTATATGGAGGGTATTTTGATACTAGATATGAAAAGATATATAAATTTATACTGTAATGACAAAATCCTGTAATCAACACCTTATCAACTTTATCATCTGCTTCTTAGATTTTATTTTATCCAACATAAGTTAACTTTTTTTTAAGGTTCTTTCCTTGGTTTAATATTTAGCCTTTGAAACAGTGAACAAAAATTGCATTGATTTTATAAAACCTTTTTATATTCTAAAAGACAGGAATGTACCAGTCCATTTTTTTTTTTTAGAATTAAAATTAGAAGATTGAAATGAAGATTATTTAAAATCTGTAATTCATTATTTTTATATACGTTTAGGGAAAGATTCCTATACTGACATCAGTTTTTTACTTTGTTTTTCTTTCTCTTCCTCTGGTTTTCTTCCCTCCCATCCTGTATTAAGCCCTCTTTGTCTTTGTCCCTATTTATTGAACACTTCTATGTTCAGGCATGGATATTTAAAAGAAAAAATTAGACATTGTCACCCTCATCCTGTCATCCTCGTCCTTGAGGAAGCTCACAGTCCAGTGTAGAATGATAGACAAGCATATGTAAACTAATTTTGTTAGCAAGTAAACAATTACTACTGCAATTGAGAAATAAAAAAAACCTATGAAGATCAGAACTCTTTCTTAAATAGATCATATTGAGTAAGTAATGAACATAATCTTGCATTCATTCTTGTTCTTTTAGAGCAAACAGAATCAGTAGTTTAAGTGATGCCTTTTGTTAAAGAGAAATTTTAAAATACAGAATTTTAAAATACAAATTTTAAAAACTGTAGTACAAATATTACCCATGTTCTCATGTACCTGAATTATATAATATATAACATATTTGTGGAATGTTAGTGCATTCCACACCATGAAATGGCATTTATCACACCATTTTAAAATTTATATGGAGAAGACATTGCAACAGATAAAACAGCAGGTGGGAAGATGCTGGTACTGAAATCAGAGGGCAATTCAGGGAAGCCAGAGTGTAAGACAGAAGATGGAAGCAAGTGACTGGAGGCAGGTCAGGGCCAGATTAGAATGACCTTTGGGCCACAGTAGGAATTTGGACTTTAACCGGTAGGCAACAGGAGATCACTAAAGGTTTTGAAACAGAAGAGAGACATGGCCATAAGATGCTAAGATGATGTTTCACAAGGTAAAGTGACGATTAGACCAAAATGGAGAGAGACTGATAGATAAAAATGATTAAAATGTTTGTTTAATTAATGTAGGTAAATGGTGGTGAAAGTTTAAATAAAGCAATCATCATTACTATTGTGAGAGGGGAATAGATTTGACAGAGAAATCTGAATTCTGTATTCAGAAACTAGATATGGTTATTAGTGGACAAATTCAGGAGCCATGGCTGCTATTTTATAAGTACTTTGACAACTTCACACAATAAAGATTCTCCAGATATTTTTTATCTTGGTTTTTCAAATATTTGAAAGCTTTAGATTTAAAGCTGATATTATAATTTGAAGATTTTTACTACTTTCATGTTTCTATAATATATATTATTTAAAAAATTATATTAGAAATTAAAAGCAAGTTGATATAGAAGAAAACAAACATTAAAATGTTGATCTGGATCTATAGATCTAAAAGATGATGTACTAAAATTACTGGCTGTGGAATCACAGGAGGTGATTTCTGTTTTGTTTTTGAAATTCCTTAGTCATTTTTTTGAATGATGAACACTATTTTTTTAACATTAAAACTTGTTTTTAACATAAGAAACACGTAGTAAACACTCCCGTTTCTTGAGCTATTTACCAGAGTTGTGAAGCCTTATTTAGATAACTATATTAATCATAAATCTATGGCTATGTGAATAATATAAATAATTCAAAGTTAATATAAGCCTTTCTTTCACAAAACACTCGGTTTTGAAAACCCAATGCAAACTCCTACTAGATAAGAATAATTCTATTCTCTTACTTTTGCAGCAGAGTATTGTTATTTTAAATAAAGTGATTTTGAAAATTTTTCCTAAAGCCTGAACACAAGCAAAATTTGTATTTGCTTATTTACTAATGATTTTCTTCTACTCTGATAACCCTGGTTGAGTGAGTGGTTGAGTAAGTATGCTCTGGTGTGGGGGTAGGATGTGGGTCTTGTTGGGCTTCTCTACTGAGTGACTAGGCTGACAACTGGTTACTTTGTTTGGGAGATTCTAAATTTTATTGACTGTAGGTCTTTTCTCTTCTGCTGATCAGATTTTCCAGAGAATTCTCTAATCTCTCACTAGAAGGTAGCAATAGGCTGCTCAGAACCAAGTTGAGGAGGGTCCCTGTGATCACAGAGCATAGGATGGGGACTTGCACTTGATAGCTCTCATTTCATTTTCTCTGATCTCTGCTGTGCCTGGTAACCTAAAACCTAGATTTTCCTGTTTGGTTTCTCCAGATCATGAATTTCTTGTCTCTTAGGAAGCAGCATGAGGAGAGGAAGAGGTTGGGGATGAAACTGTTACCAGAAAGGGGTCTCAATCCAGACCCCAAGAGAGGGTTCTGGGACCTTGTGCAAAAACAATTTGAGGTGAGTCCATAAAGAGAAAGCAAGTTTATTAAGAAAGTAAAAGAATAAAAGAATGGCTACTCCGTAGGCAGAGCAACAGCTTGGACTGCTTGACTAATAATACTTAAACAGCTATTTCTTGAGTATATGCTAAACTGGGGGTGTGTTATTCATGAGTTTTCTGGGCAAGAGGTGGGCAGTTACCACAGCTGAGGGTTCATCTCCTTTTTAGACCATATAGGGTAACTTCCTGACATTGCCATGGCATTTGTAAACTGTCATGGCACTAGTGAGAGTGTCTTTTAGCATTCAAATGCATTATAAATTGTGTATAATGAGCGCTGAGGAGGACCAGAGGTCATTTTCATCGTTATCTTGGTTTTGGTCGGTTTTTGCCAACTTTATTGCAACCTGTTTTATCAGCAATGTCTTTGTGACCCGTATCTTGTGCTGACCTCCTGTCTCATCCTGTGACTTAAAATGCCTAATCTCCTGTGTTTCAGCCTTATTGTACCCAGCTCCTATTCAAGATGGAGTCGCTCTGGTTCAAACACCTCTGACAAAACTAATCCTTACACAGAATTCCAACCATTACTGCTTTTTCTATCTCATCTCTTCTCCAGTCTTCTGGAGAAGCTGGCCACTACTTCAGCTCCCTTGGACTGTTAGGTTTCCACTTATGTTCTGTTCCATCTTTGAGCACTTGTTGACATCTCTCATCTTTATTCTTGGGAATTTGTACCTTTTTATATTTCTTTAAGCTTAAGTGGAGTTTTGGGAGTGGATATTAATAAAATGAGAGAAAGATAAAGAAATCGTGAATGGTAGTTGAAATATCATGCAGAGAACACTGAACTTGAGATCAAGTGACCTCTAATCAGTCTTGATTCTTTGTGACTTGTAGTGCGGCACTAGGTAAGTGATCTGGCTTTTTAGAGCCTTTGTTTCTTATTTCCATGATAGAGGCAATATTACCCATCACATTAGGTTGTAGTGAGGCTCACAAGAGAGGATATATATGAAAAGGTTTGCCAAATGTTCTTAAATAATTTTTTAAAAACATAACTGGAAAGTGAGATAAAACAATTTGTCTTAATTGTAGGTAATTTTGACTTTATTTTAATCTCAGTTTTTCAGTAATGAGAATGAACAGTTTTCAAAACGTTTTAGATGACATTTTGGTTTAACACATTTTTATCATTAGCAAACTAGCATCATTTGAGCAATGCTAAATATAGTGATGTTATAGGGTTCCTAAGAGAAAACCTCATATTCTTGATTGTTTACTTCTTTGATACCTTCATAATTTGAGATTTATATATTTTTAAAAATTTTCAAATCTTTGTTTTCCTCTCTCTCTCTCTCTTTTTTTTTTCTTTTTTTTAGGGACAGGGTATACCTGTATCACCCAGACTGGAGTACAGTGACACAGTTGTGGCTTACCACAACCTCAGTCTCCTGGGCTTAGGCGATCCTCCTGCTTCAGCCTCTTCAGTAGCTGGGACTACAGGCACGTGCCACCATGCCCAGCTAAATTTCTTGAAATTTTTTTTTTTTGAAGAGATGGGGTTCCACTACGTTGTCTAGGCTGGCCTCAAACTTTTGGGCTCAAACAATTCTCTTGTCTCAGCCTTCCAAAGTGTTGGGATTACAGGTGTTAGCCACTGTACCTGGCCATGTTTTCTTAATTTTACTTCTATGATAATCAAATAAATTAATATTTCTGATTCAGGATTATGTGATTTTTTTTTCTTTCAAAACAAGACAAAATACGGGTTCAAAAATTTTAGCACAATTTTAGCATAAATTCCATTTAAATGAACTGGAGCTGATCTGTAAAGAGAGGATAAATAGATCAGTTCCCTTTTTCCTATTTTCTGGTAGCTTGTATTATTCTAGGGATGATTAGTTTACTGAATGAAATTTCGTTAATAGAGTCACTATGTTTTTATTTAAGATAGGGCAACTTAGCTTCAAAAGCATCACAACAGCTGTAGCTCAGGTTGCTAATTTGATAATTAAAGCTCACTATTATTAACTTTTTACTTTTTTATTGCTTTAGAGATTGCTAATTTTCTTTACTCCATTCCTATATTCTACCTTGTTATTGTTCCTAATAGCTTCTATTTATTATACCCTGTTTTAGCACTGTACTAACTGCCTTACATTCTGTTTTACATTGTGTCCTCACAGTCGCCCAGTACATATTAAATTCTCATTTTTGAGATAAAGAGACTGATGCAAAGAAAGATTGAAACAGTTTATTCATTGTCTCAGACATTGCGTTAGGTACTAGTAGCCTGTGAGGGAGCTGAGAAGTTTTTATATTCTGATTCTCTAATGTCAGGCCTATGTGTATTTCTGAAGAATGAATAAACATAAAATAGCATACAGAGCTATCAGCAAACTGTTCAAGGAAAGAAGAGCAAAGTATGGAGAGCTTAGAAGAAAATCTCTCCTTTTGTTGGCTACTTTTTTTTTGTTTTCCTTTCTTCTTTCTTTCACATTTCACTTTAGTATTTTAGGAGACTGTGTACAAATTAATGAGTGATTGGGACAACTGATTTGAATATGAAGAATCATGAAGACTTACGAAACTCTTATAAAGAGGTTTGATAGTAACTGATGAAAAATCTCTAGCATATTTTAACTTTTTTTGATATTTATTTTTTAAAAAAAGAGACACAATTTTTAAGTGTAGATTTTGTTTTTTTGAGCAGTTCGAGAATTGAAGAAAACTTGTAAAGATACCACAGAGTTTCCTAGGCTATGGTCTGAATATTTGTGTTCCTCACAAATTTATATGTTGCAATTCTTACCTCCAGTATGATGGTTTTAAGAGATGGGACCTTTGGGAGGTGATTAGGACGTGAGGGTGAAGCAATCATCAAGGGGAACAGTACCCTTTAAGAGAATTCCTAGAGAGCTTGTTTGTCTCTTACACCAAGTGAAGATGCAACAAGAAGGCACCATCTGTGAACCGGGAAAAAATCCTTCACCGGACATCAGATCTGCTGGTGTCTTGATCTTAGATTTCACAGCTTCCAGAACTGCGAGAAATACATTTCTGTTGCTTATAAGCCACCCAGTTTATGGTATTTTGTTATAGCAACCCAAGAGTACTAAGACACAATATAACCTATACTCATTTTCTGCTGTTATTTAACATCTTACATTAATATGGTGTATTTGTTGTAATTATTGAACTAATATTGATGCACAGTCATTAACTAAAGTCTGTACTTTGCTCATATTTCCTCAGCTTTTACCTAATGTTCTTTTCCTGTTTCAGGATCACATCCAGGATATCACACTGCATTTAGTTGTCACGTCACTTCCTCTTGGCTATGACAGTTTCTCAGACTTTGTTTTTGAAGACCTTGATGGTTTTGAGATATATACCATCAGGTATTTTGTAGAATGCCTCTCTATTGAGTTAGCTTGATGTTTTTCTCATGGTTAACTTAAGTTATGGATTTGGGGGAGGAAGACTACAGAGGTAAAGTGCCATTTTCATTATGTCATGTCAAGGGTATGTACTATCGATATGATTTATCATTGTTGATGTTAACCTCCATCACCTGGCTGTGTTTACAGATTTCTCCATTGTAAAGTTACTCATTTTTTCCTTTTGCCATGCTGTACTCTTTGGGAGGAAGTCACTAAGCACAGTGCATACTTAAGGAGTAGGGAGTTATGCTGCCCTCATTGCGGGTGGAGTATCTACATAATTTATTTGGAATTTTTCTACACAGGCAATTGTCTCTTCTCCATTTATTTATTTGTCCAATCTTTTATTTATATCAGTGTGGACTCGTGGATACTTATTTATACTTAAGAAGGATTGTTTTTGTTTCATTGCTTCTTGATTTTGAATCATAGTTAGCAAGGTTTTCCCACTACATTTTATTATAACCAAGATTTATCTAATACCACATTGTTTTCTTTTTACCTTTAAATACCGATCCTATTTGGAATTTACTGCAATATGCAGCACTATTTCAAATTTATTATAATGTATACAGCATGAAGTAGGGACTCAAATATTAATTCCAGACATATTTTTTTAAGATCTCTGTTTTGGGCCGGGCGCAGTGACTCACGCCTGTAATCTCAGCACTTTAGGAGGCCGAGCTGGGCAGATCACGAGGTCAGGAGAGCGAGACCATCCTGGCGAACACGGTGAAACCCCATCTCTACTAAAAATACAAAAAAATTAGCCGGGCGTGGTGGCGGGCTCCTGTAGTCCCACCTACTCGGGAGACTGAGGCAGAAGAATGGCGTGAACCCAGGAGGCAGAGCTTGCAGTGAGCCGAGATTGTGCCACTGCACTCCAGCCTGGGCGACGGGCGACAGAGCAAGACTCCAGCCTGAGCTACAGGCTGCAAAGCGAGACTCCGTCTCAAAAAAAAAAAAAAAATAAAAAAAAAAAAATATTTTGAACTGTAAAACCATACATCTTTCTATGTATTGAAGATTTTCTTTAGAATTCTTACAGGCATCAGTTAAAAATTGCCCAAACAACTTATTAACTTTCTTAAACCCGCATCTCCTCATATCTCAGTAAATGGTGTGAGCACATAATTTGCCAGAGTCAAAAATCTGAGTATCACCTTCAAACTTCTTTCTTACTCCTTCTCCTATTAAATCACCAATCCCTGTTGAACTTCTATCTACAATTGTCTAAAATACATTTAGCTCTTGTTTGCTGCCATTGCCCTAATCTTGTCCACTACTATCATTTTCTTAGATCACTGTAATTCTGCTCTGCTCTTGATACACAAGACAAATTCGTGCCCTCAAGAATCTCATATATTGTTGTGAGAGATAGAAAATAAATGTGCAAATATATATATAAATATCTATATATGTATAGATATATAATTTTTTAGATGATGAGATGATACTATAATCAAAGTTGTACATGTTGCTGTAGGGAGGTCAATTTAATATTAATAAGAGTTTAGAAAGAGGAAAGAAGACTGAACATAAGATCAATTAATGAATAAAAAGTAATAAAA